CTCATGAGAGAAAGGTGCAGTCAGAGGTGTGTGCGTGAGTGCACATAGAGTACGGCGAAACAATTGGTGGGTCTAGAGCACGCCTCCTCAAGGCAGGTGTTACCACACCCAAGGGAGCAAAAGTCGGCTCTTGGAGATGAAAAAACCCTTAGAAGTGATTTAAAAAATCACGGTCTACCGTGCCAGGTCGGCTAGGTTGTAGTGCCTGGGAGATCTAGGGTAAGTTGGCAGTCACGTACACCTGTCCTGGAAAGCATGATCGTAAGACCGTTTTTACTTAGGAACAGACACAATGGCACCAGAAAGCCATAAAATAACCTAGACTCCTTCTTGTGACTCTGACCCTAGATCCCTGCATATAGGATGTAACCTAGGAACAATCCAACCTACACGTCCCATCCTGTTGATCAGTAGCACAGCCGATGACGTGATTAGGGGGCTGTCCCCTCTCGCCCCTTTGACCCTCCCCCTCCTTGAGATGGTAAAATGCTGGGCACTGCTGGAGCTTTCGGGCTCNTATGGCCATCGCTTACAGTGCAGTGAATACTAGCCCTGCGTTTAGGAGTAAAGTTTTCCAGGACAAGGGTCTCTAGGAAAATAGGCTCACACAGCCCATGGACACACTCACCACTCATGAGAGAAAGGCGCAGTCAGAGGTGTGTGCGTGAGTGCACATAGAGTACGGCGAAACAATTGGTGGGTCTAGAGCACGCCTCCTCAAGGCAGGTGTTACCACACCCAAGGGAGCAAAAGTCAGCTCTTGGAGATGAAAAAACCCTTAGAAGTGATTTAAAAAACCACGGTCTACCGTGCCAGGTCGGCTAGGTTGTAGTGCCTGGGAGATCTAGGGTAAGTTGGCAGTCACGTACGCCTGTCCTGGAAAGCATGATCGTAAGACCGTTTTTACTTACGAACAGACACGATGGCACCAGAAAGCCATAAAATAACCTAGACTCCTTCTGGACACAGTGTGGCTCTGTGGGGAGTGTGACTCTGTGGGGAGTGTGACTCTTCTTGTGACTCTGACCCTAGATCCCTGCATATAGGATGTAACCTAGGAACAATCCAACCTACACGTCCCATCCTGTTGATCAGTAGCACAGCCGATGACGTGATTAGGGGGCTGTCCCCTCTCGCCCCTTTGACCCTCCCCCTCCTTGAGATGGTAAAATGCTGGGCACTGCTGGAGCTTTCGGGCTCATTTCTCAGGGCGACCTGAGATAAACCCTGTGCTTCATGTGCCTGGACTCGGTTTCTTTTAGGTCAACAGAGGTTACAGTGGTTTCCGGTCCTCCAAAGCTCCGCTCCAGGACGGCATCAACAGATGCACAGTCTGTCTGTGGTATTAAAACGTCATGGACGGGCTGTTAGGAAAAACACGTCTGAAAAAGCCGGGGTGGGGCAATACTAAACGCGGTGGAGAAACATGGGGGTCTCGTGGTTCACATGAGCAGAATGTGGGTGCTCAGGTGCTTGTTGCTGTGATCTTTCAAGTGTTGTGTAGGTTTGAACATTCTGACAATTTAAACACTGACAGATGGCAACTTTGGAAGTGTGGCAGGCATACTGTGTAGGTTTCTGGCCACAGCACGGCCCCGGAGGCTCCAAAGCTGTTGTGACTTTCCCAGTCCACATACGCACACGTGGAAAGAACAGGAGTCGTCGAAGCCTGCTGTCTAGAAACCTCATTTTTTCCTCCCTCCCTTCCTCTCTCCCTTACTTCTTTTGTTTATTGGTTTATTTATTGTTATGAATAACAATAATTATCCAAGTAAATTGTGGTAAGCTTATTGATAGTACTTTATAAGTTTATCAGTGTATCAGACTCAGACACCAGATCCTAGCCTTTGGATATTTATTTGGATGGCTTGGGAAGTTGGGGCAGAGAACTGGAGCCCGGATTAGAGCCCCTGTCCCCAGGCTTGGGTGGGCCCTGGAAGTTGGCTTCTCCTTTTCTGTCTCTGTACCAGGGGAGCTTTACAAAGTCACTCTGCCTCAGTCTCCCCACTTGGTCGGGTTGTGGGGTCACTTGCATTATCCGTGCTTCCGACTCCTCCACTTGGTCAGGTTGTGGGGTCACAGGTCTCAGTGAGAAGCTCTGAAACTGTGGTCCTGCTCAGCATTCATAGGGATGGTTCTTACTGGAAGTTAGTGGCTTGGGGAAGCAGGTGTTGCATGGCGGCCTGGTGAGGGGTGGTGAGCATCGTGGGAACAGCAGCCTGGTGGTCAGGTGAGTCCCTTGGCCTGTCCAGCTCCACCCTCTCCATTCCTCAGGTGCTGCTGGGATTCAGTGAGACGGTGAGGGAGGCCTCAGGTGGGCAGCCCTGCCTGGCCTTGGGCCCTTCCTAGATGTTGTTGAAAAGTGAACGCGTGACTGGGACCAAGGCCTCCGGCCCTGCACGCCTCCTGTGTGCTCCGCGGAATCCACACTGGGGCAGCTCCGGTTGAGTTTTGAGGGAAGGAGGTTGTAATCCCCATATTCACACCCGGCCAGGTTGCTGTTTATATGCAAAGAGCACAGAATTAAGTCCTTGGATAAGGACTCAGAGGCTCAGAGAACCCATCATCCCATAGTTTCAGGAAACTGTCCTTGAAGATGTGTCCCAAGAAAGGAAGAGCTGGATTGCAGCAGAGCTGCAGAATGGCAGGCTTCAGGGTGCTGGCCTGAGTCCAGCAGCTCTGAGACTGGCGCAGGTGTCAGGAAAAGCCTGTAGTATGCAAAGTGTGCGGGGACTAATAGTGGTCTGGTCCTAAATCCCAAATTTTGTTAGGGGAGGGACTAAAAGCCTTTTTTTTTTTTAAAGATGACTGGTAGGGGGATCTTAACCCTTGGCTCGGTGTTGTCAGCACCACGCTCACCAAGTGAGTGAACCGGCCATCCCTATATAGGGATCCGAACCTGTGGCCTTGGTGTTATCAGCACCACATTCTCCTAAGTGAGCCACAGGCAGGCCCTTAAAAGCCTTCTAGGATGAATCCCACTTGATCGTGGTGAATGATCTTACATATGTGCTGTTGTATTCTGTT